GTTAAGAAAAACAGGAGAGCACAAGGAAATAGCTGACTGGAATTTATGTTCTCTGTAGCTGCACTTTAGTCCACTTTCCCTTGTGCACTGCAAGGACTAAGGTGTGTGTTTGTTTCCTCTCCCTGCCTCGGAAAAAAAAAAAAAACCCAAAAAAAAAAAAAAAAAAAAAAAAAAAGACAAAAAAAAAACCACAGAAAGAAGGTGTTTTGGATAGTAAGACTGGAATAAAACTATTTACACATTTTAATACCTCTGCTTCTCATCTGAGAGAGAAAGGAGTTTTTTTCCCCTTCAGGTTTTTTAAGCTGTCATCCCACAGAGCAAGACTGTAGCACAGTAAAAGGGCAGACACACAACTTTTGGAAGCATTCTGTTGCCATTTAAAGGAAACCTTTGAAATTACCACACAACACAGTAGTGCACCCAACACAAACCAACAGCCAGAGCTGTTTACAAGCTTTCTGCTCAGTGTTAGACTGAAAACCCCAACCCTCTTTGCTGTGTAATAAATCAGTGCTCCACATTTAACAATTTTCAGTGGTACCATATGCTACGTAGTCCCATATGCTCCATTACAAGGGAGAAAAACATCATCTCAACATGAATCATCACTGACTGTGTTCCTGTAAATCTGGCTTAAACACTCACAACGTTCAAGGGCAACACTAAATAAATCTGCTCAATATTATGCCAGATTTTGTGCAACAGAATCACAGCTCACATATAAAAATTAGGTGAAAATGAGGTTTAACGTAGGAAGCGAGCACAGTCTGCGTCTCTCTAAAAACAGACTCACCACAACGTTTGACATTCATCAGTTCCAATCTAATAATGACATCCTGCTCACAAAATGTTGATGGTATCTGGTAGTCCCAACATCCTGAACTGTTTGAGATGTGTGGAAATACATACACTGCACTCAAGACTCGCTCCTCCCAGTGCCAGGTTCTGCAGCACAGTGATCCTGGGGTACTCCCCAGGAAGTAATTCTCTGTAGAAAAGTAACAAACCCAAAGCAAAGCCAGGTGTGTGTTTTAGACTCCAGGGGAATGCTGCTGGAAGTTCATCCAGGATTTTGGGTTAACATCTCCACTCTCACAGTCACAATTTCTTAGGGAAGTACAGCTTTTTCTCTCTCTTCCTAAAGACAGCATCACCTGCAGCACAAAACCTGCTTATCCCAAACCAAACTCATGAAACACCAAGGTCATCATTTGCCCTTCTTTTGAGGAATTTCTTGGGCTCTCAGGTAACCCAGCATCATAATTATCAGTGACAGCAGGAAGAGGTACAGATGGAGGCCAAACTGGAAGATTGTCCCTATTTGAAAGCCTTTAGCAGCCAAGGAGGGAGCACGAGTGACCACAGGCTCCCACGGAATGACTGCTGTCATTAAATTCTAAATCAACAGAGTCCAGTTTGACCTAATATTCAGGGTGGGGGAAAAAAGTAATTACATCAACATCAAGCTATTACCTGTCCAAGGGCATAAGTGCCTAGTTCATTAGCAACTCAGACAAACTTGTTTTGTAAGCTCCCTATATTAAATTTGAAATTTCCCTGCCCTTACAAATTAAACTAACAATTTGTGACACAAACATTGAGTATATGAACAAGAAATCTTCCAACCTGCTCAAATCCAATCTGTACTTTGCCATTCTGAATAAGAACAAACGTATTAGTCAAACTAATTTTAGTATTTAATTAATTTAAATAAATTAAAAATAACTTAAAAATTAATACTAGCAGTACTCCTGATCACTTGAATCTTAGAGCAAGACCTACTGATCTTTAAAAATATGTATTTTTCATATTTCCAATAGAATGTTAGAAGTGAATTCCCATGTTTAGTTCTACAGAATAAGGGCAACATGTTATGTTAGGAACATTGCTCTTTAATGCTGGAAGTGGGGCTTTATAACAATTGAGAAGCTGCAACAGAACCATTAATAACTCAGATATCCAACATCCTTCAGTAGCTTAAGAGATAGATGGCCACACCCAATTAATTTACTTTAATTTCTATTTCAACTTTCCTCCTCATTAATGAGGAGCTGAGGTTCTCACAGATGAGAGTTCCTGGCACACAATGCCAGTGATCACTTTTAAGTGATGCCCACTACACAATCACAATGAAAAGTCCACAACCTGTGCTGCACACATGAGAATCAGAAGGGAAAATTTTCTTCTTTTTACCCAGAGGGAACCCTAAATTTACCAGATCAAGACTTTCTAAAACACACTCCACTCAGAAAATAAGAACAAAGCTGCCAGAGTGATTTCAGGGAGTGATAAAAAGACTGTCAGGGAAACTCACTGAGCTGCCCCTGGAAGAACTGATGACCAAGCAGGCACCAGGCAATTGCATCATGTTTATTACACAGCCAAGGGCAAGCAGATCCTTCTGGTTTAATCAATGGCCTCCAAATGAGGAAGTAGTTTGAAAATAGTGAGCATAAAACAAAATACTCTTTTGGGTTCACTTTTTGAATTTTTCCCTGATGTGTGAAAGCATGTCCATTAATAAAGCTGAGCAGGTGTGGAAACAGAATTTTATAGAAATCTACTTCTTGAATACCTTTGATGACAAAACTGCACTTTTATTCAAACTCAGTTTGATGTAAATGCTGTGACTGAACTGTAGAGGGGTCCTGTTAAAAGACTCCGAGTTCTGTCTTAAGGTGTCCAAGGTTAATGTTTTTAAATAGGAAATACATATTTTGTTGGGTTTTTTTTGTGTCAAAGCAACAAATAAATAAAATGTAAAGTGTTCCACAAACACCTTTTTCCCTGGCATTTCTCATAACCTGGATGTTGCAGCATCCCACGAGGCTGCAGAACAACCTGGAACAAAAACCTGTAAGAGGAGAACACAACGAGTCTGTGTTCCTGGCCCAAACTCACTGACCACTGCTCTATCCCTGCTCCTCCTCTACTCCCCAGCAGCCCAGCAAACTCCAGCCCTGCTCCATTCAAACAGGGTTTTTCCTTTAAAAGAAGACAGCAGATCACTCAGACTGAACAGAGCTCATTCCTGCTGAAAGTTTCCCCCATTCAGCAACACATTATAGAAAACAAATCTAACAGTAAACCCTGTTGATGCAAGAGACACATTTAGAACGCACACAAGTAGAAATACCTCACCTTTAAAAGCTTTGACTTGCTAAAATCCTTTTAAACTGATAATAATGTAACAATGTAAAAGGGAAGTACTTAGAGAGAATCACTGTAAGCAATACACACACCCAAACAAGAATTAGTTTGCAATCTGAAAGCTCTCAGTACAGAGAAGGGTGGATGGAAACAAACCAGCTCAAGGTTTCCTCAAATCAGATGCCAGAGGAAGTTATATGATGAGCTGGGCAGCAAATAAGAAATCTGGATTTGATAAATGAGACATTTATGTAGATAGGAACAGTTTGCAGCCTCACTGTGGGTGCATGAAAGAATTGTCAGATATTTGTACGAAGCTCAGTGTCAAAAGAGATTGCAGACAGGTATTTACATTTAAAACATGCCCTATATTGTTATATTAGCCCCTGAGAAGACAAAAATAGCTACCTACCAGAAATAGCCCAATTTTTAGCTCATAGAGAGGACGAGCATGGTTATTATCTCTCTCCACAAACAATCCAATAACACAGAAACACTAACACATGTCATATCACAAATCTGGTATGGGATACAAAGTAATGACCACTGGCAAAACCAGCTGCATCACTGCCAGCGCTGCAGCTTTCTAAACATTTGCTAAAAGATGTCAGCAGACCTTGGGGAACAGTCTGGAGCCCAGTTATTCTCAAACAACATCAGCACCACAAACCTCAGCCAGCACTGCTATACCTAGCAACTTGGAAATCCCCCTGTGTTCTGTGGAACTGCATCCACGTGGATGCAGAGCTCTGACTGCTTCCACCTTCTTGTGTGGATCACTATCCACAAAAGATGGGCAAGGAGATTCCAAATCCTCCTGGCACAACCAGGGCCGGAATCAGCACCGCCTGCTTTGCTGTTTTTCAACAAACACGGAGCTGCTGGACTGTGTGTGAGCCCAGCATTCCACACAGCTTCCAGAGCAGTGTCCCACGGGCTTTTCCCTCACCCTGGGGAGAACAGCAAACCCAGCACCGAGCTGCTCTGTTCTGCCCGGGCTCAGGGAAAATCTACCAGAACTACTCAGCCGCTACTGAAGTTTAGAACTGCCATAGTTGTAAGATTAGGGAATTCATTCCACTCACGTTCCTGGAGAAGGGGGGGGGTGAGGAGCCACGAGGAGATGTAGTTATAAAACAAAACTCCGAAGGCTTAGTACTTGCCTCGTGTCCTCCTTCCTTCTCCTTCCCACGCAAGTACGAGTGCTGCTCGATGGCATCCAGCACCTACAGCAAACCATTTCTCTGTGTCATTAAAAGGACAGAGACATCTCCTCGCAGCAGAGCGACGTCACCGCTTCCAACTGGGCTCGGAGCCGGCAGGAGGCAGCTCCCCGTGCCCCGAACTCCCCGGGAGGCACTCCGGGATCCCGGTATTCCCAGCGGAGCAGCGCCCGAGCCGTGCCCGCTGCCGGCGAAGGCAGCGCCGCTCTCTCTCCCCGCGCTCCTCACGCTCCTGCCGGGGCGTTCCCGTCCGCTCGGGGCGGCGGTGCCGGAGCTCCGAGCTCAGAGCGCTGCCGGGGACAGCTCCCGGCACGGCGAGCGCGGGGACAAGGCAAGGAAGCAGCGGCTGCTCCCGCTGCCCCGGCACCGGGCGCGGGGCACTGCCCCGTCCTGGCTCTCCCGGTCCCGCACAGCTCACACCGTGCACTCGCAGCCCCGGGGAGCTGCCCCTGCCCCGAGGCACCCGGACAGCCGAACTCCGCAAAGTGCCGCTGCCAGCCCCGGCGCTGCCAGCCCCGGCGCTGCCAGCCCCGGCGCTGCCAGCCCCGGCCGCGCTGCCCCTGCCCTCCGCGCCCCGCCGGGACCCGCCTGCCAGCGCCGCCGCTCCCTCCGCCCGTGCCTCACCTGGCTCCGGCCGGCGGCAGCGGGCCACGTCCGCGGGGCCCGGGCGGGGAGGAACGAGGAGGAGGAGGAGGAGGAGGAGGAGAGGGGGACGGAGCGTGTCTGTCGGGCCGTGCCCGTCACCGCCGCTTCCTGCCCGGCCCCGCTCGGCGCTCGGCTACTCCGCCTGGCAGCTCAGGACGGGCCGCTCAGCGGCGCCGCCTCACCGAGCGCCATCGGCGCTCGACTGAGCCGCCTGCGCGGTGCCGCGGCGGGAGCGGGTGTGAGGGAGGGGAACGGCGGGAGCGAGGGCCGGGAAACGGCGGGAGCGAGGGCCGGGAAACGGCGGGAGCG